CAATTTAAAATAACTGTTTTCTATTTGAATATATTTTAAAGTGTAATTTATTTCTGTGATCAAAGCTGAATTTTCAGCATCATTACTCCAGTCTTCAGTGTCACATGATCTTCAGAAATCATTCTGATATGCTGATTCGTTGCTGGAGAAATTTTTGAAAACCGATACATTTTTTTTTAGGATTCTTATAAAAAGTTCAAAAGGAGAAGCATTTATTTGAAATATAAATCTTTTGTAACATTATAAATGTCACATTTGACTACTTCAGTGCATCCTTGCTAAATATTATTATAATTTATTATCATTTAATACTATAATGTATTTCTTTAAAAAAGCACCATGACCATTAACTTCTAAACAGTAGTGTAAATTTCAACATTTATGTATTTGCAGTTTGCAATTAAAAATAATATCTGAAAAAATTATGCCTTCAACCAAACAATTGTTGTGATAAAAAGAAGATTTAAAATGTTCATTTAAGAACTAAATCAGCAAAAATCTATGAACAACGAAAAATATGTATACGTATACATACATATACATATATGTTTCCATTTATATGCACCAATATCACAATACTTTATAATAAACAGCAATATTTACATATATATATATATCGGTAAATATTACTAGAATCTTTTTAATATATGAAAGCTTATTTCCATCAGAGTTCATAGTTTTGAATCAATCAATTTGAACCAACAGTTTGAATCACATCAACTAATTCAATTTTTCTTGCATTTCAAATCAGAGACATTATTAAAACATCTGTCTATTAAAGCAAGCTCTCATTCTTGAATCATGAGACACGGAATGATTGTGAAACTAGTCTTAAAGAACTTAAAAAGTGCCAAAAATCAGTGCAAATAGAGTCCACAATTTTGTTTGTGGGACGTCCCAGCTCAACATGCACAACTCCCCAATCAGGCTAAACAATAAAGATGGCTTGTAGCCAATTTGAGAGAGTTTCAAGCCATCTGATCTCCAGCCGGCAACAAAATCCCTGCAACTAGTCAATCCTTTCATGCATTCATAAGCTTTGACAACTTTAGTTACCAGGATCAAAGAAACTATGGGATGTGGGCACACATTCACTTCCTGTCATCTCAACACACACCACCATGAGGCGAGTTTATTGAAGCCTCGTGGGGGACGCGAGGACGGAGTCTATTGTGTCACATACAGCAGATTTTTCTCATTGTGTTTGGTGTTTTTATTGTCCAGACTGGTGGATTGTTGCTGTAAATTGTGAGTCACAAGTTTCTCCTTGAACCGTGCAGTGCAAATAAGGACAGTAAACGCTTGTGACACGATCAGAAAACAGGTGTTTAATACACATTTAAAAGAGAAAGAGAGGAAGAAAAGAAAGAAGAGAGGAAGCAGAGATGAGAAGATGTGAGCGTGGGCGCAGCAGACAGACAGACATGAATCCTTTCAGACTGCATTAGCATCAAGGCAAAGGACACAGAAGAGATTTGTCAGCCAAGAACCGCACTGTTCTGTTTCTGTCTTTGTCGTTCTTTCGTTTGCACTGATCTGAAGAACTCTGAGGAGAGGAAACATCTCTTTTTAGTGATAGTTTTGTTTGGTGTGTTGCATCTTTCAAATAAAAGCCTCCGATATGATGCACGTCATACACAAATATGACAAGATATGAGTGAAAATGCAACGTTTCAATCTGACTGGCTGGTTTCAATGTCAGTTCAGAAATAAATCTACAATGAGCATTTGAGGAAGAAATAAGCACAGGATTTGTGCTTTTTGATTGTCAGGCTTGTTGTGTTTGAATCTGAATTAACAATAATAACAATTATGGACATAAAAAAAAAAAGACAATTCTGAAAAAAAAAAAAATAAATAAATACTATAAAAGAACCATTAAAGTCCGTATGGTAATATTCTGAAGTGAATATGCTTGTTTTTTGTTTTTTTGTGCAGGTTTATTATCATTTACCAAAACTAAGTATTAGAGGGACAAACTTAAATGAAAATGAGAAATGCTGTCCTGGCAATTAACTAAAAGTTTAAGTTGAAACACTAAAATTACAAACTGGAAACAAAATAAAAACTAAATCTGAAATAAAAATAAATTAAACCTAGACATAAATATAAAACATATAAATAAATAAAATTACTGCAAATTAAACTAAAATTAAAATAAAAATGTTTAATATAAATAAATACTAATTCAATATATTAATAAAAACGGTAATCATATATTAATTATTACTAAAAAAAACATTGTGTGAGGAACAGACTGAAATTTAAAATGGTTTAAAATTGTTACATTCAAATTGTTATACAAAACATGTTAAAAGCACATAAAAATCACTACATTAAATTGAAATGAAAACTGAAAATATAAAAATGAAAGCTAATTTAAAACAATAAAAACTATAATTGCATATTTAAATAATACTGTTTAAAATAATACTGCATAATAAAATAACACTGTGAGGAACAAACTGAAATTAAAAATTATGTTTAAAATTGCTGTTATGTTAAAATTATTATACAAAAACTAACAAAAATGTTGAAAGAACATAAAATCATTATAAAAATTTAACTAATTAAAACGAAAACTTCAAATATAAAAATAAAAACTAATTCAAAACATCAATTAAAAAACTACAATCTATAAGTAAGACCATAATCTATAAAACTAAATAATAATACTATATAATAAAAAATATAATCTATTACTGAAAGTATAATATAAACTAATTAATTCTAAAGAATAATACTATAACACTCTAAAAATTATACTATAAACTTTAATTTTGCACAAAGATATAAGACAACTGTACTACTATTATGCTTCTTTTTTATGACATTTTTAGTCCCTTTTGTAGATTGACAGATGTGTGTACTACAGTGTTTAAGTTCTTTCACAGGAACACTAAACAGCAAAAACATCAGAATACTGCACATGACAGCATATTTACATGCATCAACTTGCATATTTGGTGTTCAACAACTTGGCAAAGCCCAGTTAAGAAATGAGGAGGAATTTGGATAGTTACTGTTACTCCTAAACCCCTGAATGACTAACAATGGGAACGTCCATCAAACCCTGCTCTGTTTCTGTCTTTTTGTGTGCATCAGCAACAGCGTGTGAGAGTTAATCCACCTATAAACGTGCATCTGTTGCACTCCGTCTAGCGCATCTCACATTCTCAGCGATGACATCTAGGTGTGCAAATGCTCCCACAGCTGTGAACCCTCTCTAAAAGGAGATCACGGCTTAAACGACGGTCTCTAGATGCAGATCGCTGGCCAATGAGGCGGCACACAAGCCTGAGGAGACAGTGTTTGACTTTGTACAAATAGAGCAATAATGCTCAAGAGGGGGAAGCCATTACCGCGAGCCGTGTGAGGATATTTCAAGATGATTTGTATTCATTCCTGACGTTACTTTACGTTACTTAGGCAGGGGTTGCCTAGCAACATACTGTAGGAAGAGTGGGAAAACCCGGGCTGTCATTCCACACGCGCGGCGTCTCTGTGAATGCAAGCTCTGTGACACTGCACAGACAGCATGAAAGAATGCCGCAGTGCCCGAATGCATGTGTGAGGGCGGCAGTGTGCTTCTAAGACATCTGCGCATCAATTCATAGCCTTTTATGTGCTTTAAATGATTTCATTTTACAGAAATGCCTGTAGTCTGGCACACCGCACAGCTCTGCCTTATGCACCGCCTGTCAACCGTAATAACAACGGTGACTGCAATGGCAGCATTCTAGTGCATCAAAACATTTTCATGCAAACTTTAACATTGCCTTTTAGATGCACAAATAGACCTTTACACACATAGATTAAAGGAATAGTTCACCCAAAAATGAAAATTTGCTGAAAATTTACACACCGTCAGGCCATCCAGGATTAGTTTGTTTCTTTATCAGAACAGATTTGGAGAAATGAACTTGTTCAGCAATGGTTGCTCTGCCGTGAATGGGTGCCGTCAGAATGAGAGTCCAAACAGCTGATAAAAACAAAGTAATCCACACCACTCCAGTCCATCAGTTACCATCTTGAGAAGTGAAAAGCTGTGGGTTTATAAGAAATCATTAAGGCATTTCAACTTTGACCCGTCGCGTCTGGCTAAAATACCATAAATCCATAATACATAATAACACTTCCTCCAGTGAAAAAGTCCATCTCCTGTTGTCCTCTCACATCAAAATCCACCCACATATTTGTTAAGAACCTTTTCTGGACTGTTTTTGCTTGTAAACGGTGTTTGATCTGTATAGGAGATTTCTCTCCTGATTCAGATTACGCTGGAGAACCTAATATTATGGATTATGGAAGCAGTGGTTTGAAGTTAAAAACATCTTAAAGGATTTGTTGCTTACAAATCTGCATCTTTTCACTTCTCAAGACGTTAATTGATGGACTGGAGTGGTATGGATTACTTGTGGATTATTGAGATGTTTTTATCAGCTGTTTGGACTCTCATTCTGACGGCACCCATTCACTGCAGAGGATCCATTGCTGAGGAACTGATATAATGCTCAATTTCACCAAATCTGTTCTAATGAAGAAAAACACTCATCTACACCTTGGATGGACTAAGGGTGAGTACATTATAAGCGAATTTTCATTTTTGTGTGGAATATTTCTTTAAACAATATTGGCATTGATGTAGCCTACATTCTTGCCATTTGTTACTTGAATGTGTGAGACTTCTGGTGTCATTCACTTCCAGTTATTTTACATGTACAAAAACAGTCTGTTATGCTGCTTTATATTGCAAACTGACATTTCTTATCACATTATTTAATGTATTATTGTAATCATAAAAACACACTGTTTTGTAGCGGAAATAGTTTTATCGTTTACGCTACTTAGACAGATAAAATAGAAAATAGCTTATTTCCGTGTTGCAAGATACACTGTAGCATTGCATCATGTTTGTTTCAGCACATTGCATACTCGAAAAAAGTTACAAAAATACAAAAACAGAAAATTCAACACATAAAGCATCATGTTTTGCCATTACAGTATGTGAAGACTCACTGGCCAACTCAATTAAAATACACTCAGATAAAACGCTCTCTCCGCTCGTTCTGCAGATTATTGTAATTATCTCAATAAGTGTGCACCTCTGTTTTTGACAGCTGCTTTGACCCTGTATTTTCAGTTCAGCACTTGGTGTCATGTTTTTACTATGTTGTGTCAAGTTGAGACCCTCTCAAGACCCTGCATTCTGTTGCCCTCCATCTAGCTTATTAAAAAAAAAAAATCACCAAATTAAAAATGCATCCAAAATTTCCAATGTTTTTGAGGTGCTGAAAAAAAAAACATGATGCAATGCAATGGTGTATTAAAACATAAAATATGAATGGCTCTTGAAAATTGACTTGTGTTTGTCCATCTGCTGCCAGATTTTTTTTATTTTTTGCATGCATTTATGGCTCAGATGCAGTGTTATTTCTATATTATTTATTATTATCTTAGATTTGTTTTTGTTTTTTTCATTTAAAAAAAAAAAAGTAATTTGGTCATTTTCCTTTTGTTTTGGTTTATTTTAAATTTTTTTCAGTTAGCCATCAAGGCAACATTTCAACTTTTCATTTGTTTTTTGTTTAATTCAAGTTTTTATCTTCTAATATTAATAATAATCTAATATTTAATCTATTTTAATTACAGAAATATTTATGTTTTTAAAAATATTTACAAAATATTTTAAATAATATTAGTTTTGTTTTACTTAACAACACTGCTCAGGGGATTTGCCTATATACAGTATACATTTTCCTATATACTGTATATATATATATATATATATATATATGTGTGTTTATATACTGTGTGTGTGTGTATATATATATATATATATATATATATATCTTGGTCTGCATGCAAGCCATGCATTTTGCAAATCAATCAAATCCAAAGCACATAAGTGCAGTCCCTTACAAGCAACCATGTCCCACTGGCATCAGGGTGATTGTTAGTGCACAGATTTTCAAATATTTACAGCAAAAGTGTATCATCTATAGGTCTCTTAGACGCTTGGAGCACTGGCGGCACTGCTTTACTCAAAAGGCAGCATGTTATTTACTTTGTCTGTAGATCAATACCTGCTGTACCTGCAATACCACTTTGCAGTGGCCAGTTTTGATTATTCGGGGCTGTCAATGCAGGAGTTTTCCACTGGATTCCACGGGGGAATGGGCAAGTATTGACCCACTTTTCCTATTCACAGCTCCTCATAGAGCTCCATCTGTCCATCTCTGCCAAACCTCAAGAGAAGTAAAGCTACTGCTGGTGTGCCGTTCATCCACATTAACTAATGTGCATGCAGGACTCTGAAGTGCACGAGGCGGAGATGGGCTTCTTAAGAGAGGCACAAAACCACAGAGATCGATTTACAGTGTTTACTGCAGATCTCTGTGCGTTCATGCTGGAACAAAAGAGGATGAATATTTGATGTGGCCACAGACTCTGGAAATCAATAAAAGCTTTGTGGTTTCGTCTCACTTCTGACACAGTATATTAAACTGCATTAAAAGTGGTGAGAAATGACAGTGTTAAGCCTTGTGCACGAATATCGCGCGCGCTTATCGCCAGCGTTTTTCGATGCGTCTTGTGTTTTCATACCATAGACTGTATAAAAACATGGACGTAGTGTCCGTGACATCACCTGTAGGTTCCTTAAGAGCGTTTTTGAAGCTCAAAGTGGGCGGAGCCGGCCGTCGCCATCTTGGCAGCGCGTCACTCCCGGATAATCAAAAATGGGCAAAAAGGCGAGAGCTGGTTGCTGAAACCACGCCCACCTAGCTCGACGTGGTTACAGAAGCTGCAATCCACCTGTCTCTTAAGTGGCCACGCCCTTAATTATGCAGAACTTTAAGGCTTAATTAATTTAAACGGATGAGTTATAAAAAAATTCACCCCCCTCACAGTTGTCATGAAGGGCAAAATTAGCTATATAGACCAAAATAATTTTTTGAACCAGGCTGTAAACATGTTTTTTTCTGCTGTAAAGTTTGGCATTTTAACATGGGGAGTCTATGCGATTGACTCCCTTTTGCAGCCAGCCTCTAGCGGCCAGTTGACGAATTACAGTTTAAGTCACTTCTGTGTTGGCTTCACGAGAGAGAGAGCGGGAGGTTGCCGGTTGGTTCATACCCAAGCGATTTTCACTGGTGATGAGCCGAGTGAACATGCAAATTCACTCCCTGACATTAGATGGAGCTTAATGAAAAATACCCCGGTACACATCGAATCCTATTTGATCTGCAATTCATCTCCATAACAACTCCCTCTTACCGAGATTTTTGTAGTCGCTGTCACGTTTGTCATGAAGCTCTTTGTGTTCAGACACCAATGAGACCAGCAGCTCTACATTCATCTTGCCTCGATGCTTCTTCTTTGTCTACTTACTTCCTCTTCGTCATTAGGTATCAATGTGTGCTCGGCAAGACCGTTTTGTGCTTGAGCGCCACCAAGTCGTGTTTTATTGTAACTTCAGCAGCTCCAGGCACGTGAACAAAAGCGCCAATCTCATTGTTTCGGCCAGTTTTTAACGCGGCTCGTCAAACTAAAAAAACGAGCCCGAGGCGTTTTTCTTAAATGACGCTTTTACGCCTGGCGCTTTGCGCGTCGGTGTGCACACTCACATTGGCGCCCTATGTTTAATTACGAGGCGTTAAACGTCGGCGATAATCGCGCGCGATATTCGTCCCAGTGTGCACAAGCCTTTAAGCAGAAGAAATCAAAGATGGAAGCGGCTGAGTGATAGTTTGATGATGAACTACATCTTCACATTTTCTGAAGGAAGCAAGAGTGGTGTGAACGGTTGCCGGGGTATTGTTAAATGGTTGCTAAGATGTTCCGAGCGATGTCACAAGGGAGTTCTGTAGGTGGTTTCTAAGGTATCCTTAGTGGTTATTTGCATGTTTCTGTGGAGATAGCATGTTCTTAGTGGTTGCTAGGGTGTTGTGGATGGTTGTCAGCAGTTGCTAAGGTGTTCCGAATATTTGTTGCTAGGGAGTGCTAGGTAGTTGCTAAGGTATTCTGAGTGGCTCTTTGTGCATTTTTACTCAGTACGTATGTTCACAGTGGTTGCTAGGTTGTTTTAAGTTAATATAATGCTGCTATTTACATGTTAACTGCCTCTCTTAGCAAACATATAACCAGTGGTGTAATGTAACGAAGTAATAATACTTCGTTACAGTACTTAAGTATTTTTTGGGAGTATCTGTACGTCTGCAAGTTAGACTCATGCTCATGTGCAAACAAGTGCGCGCACATCCGCGGATGATTCATTTTCCACTCAAGTCGAGTCTGGGGTGTGCGATACAATATCGTCTGCGATAATATGATAAGTGTTGTTGTAATGATGTGCGATCTGACATTATCAAGTAGGCTATCAAACCAAATCACACACAGAGTGCACGCACTTTGATTTATTAGTCTATTAAAACTATTAAAATTCCAGGCATTCTAAATTGAAGACGGCAAAAATGCTTCTGTATGCTTTTTATATTTATATAATTTATTATAGTTAACTTAATCTATATCACACAAAGAGTACCGTTTTTTTCTGCAGATATCAGCATGAACACATTTAATAATCCTTTTATACAAGTTCAGTAAAGCAATAAGTGATAGACTTGTGCTGGTATTCGGTGATGCGATATATCACGGTAATGAATATGCACGATATTGTTATCGCGGGCACTTCTAAATACTGTGAATAATTATATATTACAAATTATTCCGAATTTTGAATGTATTTTAAGAATACTTTTCCCATCAACTGGTCAAAATGCGCAACACGCTGTATGCTGCGTGAAAGACGCATGCGCACTCTGATGTAAACAAGCGCGGACGAGAAGCACATGGCGGAACATGTGAGAGACGCTCTGGATGAAAGCGCACTTTCACTCTCTGACAGCAGAAGGCGCTAAACTGCAGAAATAATAATAATAATAATTCAATAATTCATTTAAATGCAGCCTTTACCCCGGAAACCCTGTAAACAAAGAAGCTGCACTACTTTCTGTTTCTGAATCGTGTTTAAACGATTTAAACAGCCATTCAGATTTGTGTATTTAC